CCACGTAGAATTAAGGCAGTTCTGAAGGCGAAAGGGGGTCAAACACCGTATTAGTATGGTGTTCCTAATAATCCTTTAGGTGAGTGTATATTCTCATAACACACTTTCATCTGTCTTAGTTTAATGCAAAATGTGCTGTTTATGTAGTTCCCCTTAGCTTTGACAGTGGTGGTGTAATGGTTAGGGATGAGCCTTTATAATCAAAAGATTGCTGATTTGAATTCCGGATTAACAAAATCCCCCTGAGGATCTTGTGGGGTGCTGATTTAGCTGCCCCCTGCTATGTCACATACGTATTGAATGCATTTTGCTGTAGTGTGTCAACAATGACAACTAATCACTTTCACGTCACCTGTTTGACTATCCATAAGATATTTAAGATAAAGTTATTTTAATTCCACATGATTTTAATATTAAACATTGTTATTGGCTTAATTATTAACTTATAATTACATTAATTCTTGAATTAAATAAAAGGCCATAAGTCTGGTATGGATACCTATTTAATGTATACTACCTAAATCACCAGATTTATCTTTAAAAAAATCTGTTGTTCAGCAAATTTATTTGAAAATAATTATTTAATATTTAGTTAGTACTGGGAGCATTAGGGAACCAAGTCTTTCTTGAAGAAATTCTGAAAACTATGTGGCAGTGAGTACAAATACGATATGGGTCACATATAATACTAACGGTCCAAATGAAGTCATTAGTGGCAATAATCTGAGTCAGTTTAAACCTGGGGAAAGAGATACCCTCCTACAGAGCTCTATCCTAAAGGAACCAATAGTAAATGTTTGCATTTCTGTGTCAAGTGGAAGCAGGGATGACCCATGAGAGCCGCAAGGCACTGTGGGACCTTATTGCATCCTATAATAAGCCTGCAGGCACAGCTGGTGCCAGGAAGCTTTTCTTTGCTTTTGGAATTGATGTGTATCCCTTGCAGGATTTCATCCTTTCCAGCACAGACGTACAGCACAGTGGAAGAGGGCACTGGGGTTTGTACTCTTGGTGGGCATCAGTGCACCATATGCCCAAGAGTCTGGCAGGCAGAGCTCACGAATAAATAAACAGTCTGTTTGAAGCCAAGTCAGAACAGGCCAGGGGAGCAGATACTGTTTGCTACAAGTCATATTTTCTGCTGCTATGAGCAACATGCATATAAAGCTTAAGTCTCCTAAAAAGGGGCGGCTGAACGGTCCGGTGCATCAAAAGTTCTCAGCTCTGCTGTTTGACAATATTCAACAAGGCTCTCAGAAAACATGGCACCTGAAGCTGCTTTCTGTAAGACACCCTTGATGTCATGTCAAATAACCAGTTTTAAGGTTTTAATAAGTTAACAATACATAAGTTAACTTATGACACACTTCTGAGATTCTAAATGCCGTTTTATTTAAAAATGAAAACATGGTGGATGAAAGTGGGCTGTCAGTTTACCAATTTGAGGAGTTTTAGTGTATAATCTAGAGCAAAATAATCTCAGTGTAACTTGTAGGGATAAAACATATTTCTGTACATAAAGAACCTAAGTGATCCAGAAAAACACTGCATTGCCACCTAGTGGAGATGATTCCTGAAAATCAAATTAGTAGTAGCTCCTTTTGCAACAACTCCTATGTATGGTGATAAGGGCTAGGGGCGTCAGAAGCATTTTGAATGTGTGTGTGTGTGTGTGGGGGGGGATGCACTGGCATAAAACTAATATTTTATGTTAAATGTGGGGGGGTCCAAACGAATAATTATGAAATGTGAGGGGGGCATATCCCCCTCAGATTTAATGGCGGCGACGTCCATGATAAGGACAATTTGGCCTAAGTAACTAATATGTTTGTATTATCTTTACTGATATGGTTAGCATCTAATTATTTGTAGATGGATATTATGCTTATAATAAATATACAAATGACTGTGACAATAAGGTGTATTTTGCTTGTATGCATCAGATTCTTTTTTCCTATCACTGTCTTTTTCCCGTTTCCAAATCTGACTGAATAGGTTGGACGGTAACCATAGTGATGCTGTCACCATCGTGTCATCCATGTACCACATGTCATAAATGTTTATTTGAACAACGTTGTAAAATCAATCACCCATAAAGTAATAAAGGAATCCAGGGCATAGTTCAGTATCCCAAAGCCGATGTTTTCTATTAGTGATTTTATTATGTAAAAACTCAATTTCCACAAATTTCAATTAGTGGAAGTCACATATATGTCAGTGAAATGTTCAGCTTAAATTATTTCTCAATAAAATTCATGGCAGATGAATAAAAATAAAATCTTAATTATATATACCACTTACTAAATGCTTGAATAAAAGCAGATAATGTCCAATGGTAATCTTGTAATTGATGGGCCGAATGGCCCCCTCTCATTTGTAAATTTCTTATGATGTCCTTGTAACTGATGTCCCTCCAGAACCACAATCCTCCAGTTGGTGATGACCTTGTGTATTTTTAGATGGAAATGATCTTAACATGGGAAAAACAAATGTCTTACCTCTGTGTTGCAGTACCATCACGTTTTATTTATGACTATCCAAGGATCTCACTATGACTCCTCCTTACCTTTGAAACAACCACATGTTGCTGTTACTGGAACTGAGTAGAGGGCACCTGCTGGGTTCTGGTACTTGGCTTCGGTTTGTACCGTTTTCCTGGGACTGTGTCACCGACACCCTTACACAGCTCAGTAGGGAAAAGTGACTTGTTTATGTTTTCCATCTGAGGAAATCGCATTATATATTATTTCATTATTTATTTTACATGAGGGTTCAGATAGGCATGGGAAATACACAATATATTTATGTAAGTGGATGGCATGTGCCTCGGCATACCATACTGTATTTGTTCATTCAATGGATATATTATATTCCAAGAAAGTTAAGTTATGCCATTATGAAATTCTTTTAAAAATAGTTTTACAAACAAAAAATCTGATAAAACAATAACTTCACTCAAACTTCACACAATATGTGTGCACTGGCAACAACACTACTACACTGAGTTCCATTCTCGAGAAAAGGAGTGACTGGTGGAAAGTCCCTTTGTGGTTATTGGGGGGATGCTGACAGACTGACCACTGTGGTCATAATTACGTAAATATATCTTTAGAAAAATTATATAAATGATGATTTTAACTTTTCTTTTCCTTAAACAGGGTGTACCCAGTCTTTTGTTTGGAGACTGATGAGTGATAGTTGCTTGAGAATTACCAGTGCTTAGATTGCAGTTACATAATGGAGCATTTTCTATTTGTTCCTCACATGTGAATGTGTATGTAGTCTAACTTCGGAGGTTGTCTAAGGACACTTGTGAATCTGGTTGCCACGGTGAGGTATTTTGCATGTAGTGTAAGAACATAGTGTTCTGCTATTGTTTTAGTGCAGACAGGACAGACCAGAGTAATTTCCATTAAAACTTAGTTGCCTTCCCTCCAAATCTTACACGCACAGATTCTGATCCCTGTGGAAAACTGTTAGTGGGGGGGGGGGGGGGATGGAGGGTGGGAGAGAAGGCAAACTTAGATGATTACTTGTGAGGCCGTATTGTGTAAGGACCATCTGGGAAGCAGTTCTGTTGTAAATGAGTACTGCACTAGCTCCATGGTAGGTGAGGTATAGGCTGAACTGCAGTAAGATCTCTGGGTGTTTTGCTACTTTTGGCTGCTGTGATTTGGGTGAGCAGAATGTGAAGTAAGGCATGTGATGATGATGAGGTCATTTCTCTAGTTGTCGGCAACTTTCTCAAGATCCCCTTCCATGCTTAATATTTTATTTTTGCATTAGAGTGTGCACTGGACTTCATTTCCACCAGCTGGAGACCTGCTTTCAGTGGCGAAGGCAAACTAAGTTGTGTATGCATATCAGCCCCATTATTTACAGTAGAATGACATGGAGCTCTATGACCTTGGCCTTTCATGGTGCCGAGAAACCTCTCAGAGTGTCCTGGAATCTGTGGGCACACAGCTTTTGCTAATCAATCCTCCAGTTGGTGGCAAAGAGACCAGGGGCTGGAGTAATATGTGTCAGATGTCTGCCCCTAAACTTGTAGAGGAAGGAAAGTGACCTTCACACTGCCCCTTCCCAACACCCCTGGCTGCCTTGCTTCATTTACATTTATAGAAATCAGAGACTCCATGCTAGCAAGCTTGACCTGGAAAAGATGAATTTCCCAGAAGTGGCTGGAAGGGGAGGCAGCTGTCGTCTGGGTAACTTCCTGGCTTCTTCACCAGCATCATATGCCCTTTCAGATGTTTCCGTATGCCTCTTTTCCTTAGCTAAGTAACCCTCCAGAACCACATCACACTCACAAAGTCAACCCAATTTCCTAACTGAAATGACCAGAGTTGGGTAATTCAGGTCCAGAGAGTAAAATTCCAGACCGGGATTTTGTTTCAACCAACCAGTTCAAAACTCTGTGATTGTGACTCTTTATACTGAACTGGTTGGTTGAAACAAAATCTAGGTCTGGACTTTTACTCTCTAGACCTGAATTACCCAACACTGGAAATGACTGACACACTTTGGCATCAGTAAATCCACACAATGTATGAATTGAATATTAGTCCTGTGACCCTCATGCTGAGGTGCAACTCCAAAAGCAGGTTCAATCTGGCGCATAGAAATTCTGACATAGAATAAAGTGATGACCAGGTCACAAGTCATACCAAAACATGAACTGAATTTTTAAGCAGACTGACCCAGTCTGTAAACCAGCCCCACATATCTTGCCCCAGGAAGAAAAAAAGCTTGTTGCTTCAGGAGTATTTTGGAAATTGTTCCTGAAGTATGAAATCAATCACTCCCCCATGAAGCTGCACCATACACAATGTTTCCTTTGTTTCTGTCTGGAACAACCTGCTTCCAATTGTAGAAACATGCACTGGGTCCAAGAGCATTTCGACACTTGTCACCATTGGGTTTGTATGATTTGATTGGTGTGTCATTTCAAGAGGACTTCACTCGATGGCAATTCCAGCTGTGTACTTTATACATTTAAGAAGAATGCGAGACATCTTTAGAGAGTGTTAAAATAAACAAACCTTTGACAGCATATCTAATAGACAGTAGTTTCCATATAAAATGAGAAAGGAGTTAAAGATTTCAGTCACACGTTGAACTTTGCTCTTCTTGTCCTTCCAAGGTATGAGGACCCTGGTACCACCTGTGTGCTACAGAGATGCTTGTTTTAGCTGCAGATGGAGCCAAACAAGCTAGAGGCGTTGTTCAGAATCCCTACTATAGGTAGCATATGCGCTAATCCTCCGCTTTTCTTGATTAGCCTGCCCCTGGATTGGGTGAACAAGGACAGTATATGGATGTGCTAATCAGTTCACGGTGGGAACCTGGCTCTGATGCAGGCTGTACTCCTTAGCCTTCAGCCGTAGGCTGGCGATGCTGCTCGCCATGTCGACTCCCTGTCTGCCCGTGGGTGAGTTTGAGGAGCTGCAGGCGGAGGCTGAGCTGAAGGAGAAAAACACGGCAGAGTCTTGGGATCTGACAAAGCGGGTCATTTATTCCCTAACTAGCATTTGCTTATATAAATTCCTTCTTCTGTTCCCACAAACTACAAAGAATATTTAGCTGTCACCCGAAGGAGAAAAGAGGCTATGACACAGTTGTTTACTTTGGGTAAAATTAAAAAGGCACTGTCTCTTATTGTCACTTTAAGATTAATAAACTTGTCTGTGTGGACTCAATTAACTTGTAAACAGGCATCCAGATTAATGTAATTTGGAGAATATAAATTGTTATATATCTGTTTTCTGCCACATGACAAACTATGAATTTTTGTTTACTACTTTTAATTCCAATGCTTTCTCCAAAGACCTACCACCACTTGTTAAATCTTTTTAGGAGTTGCATGCACATTGCTAAGTTGCTCAGTTGTAGCACACTAGGAATGCCTGTTACCTGTGGGGTGTGGCGGAGGACCAGGACATGTAGTCTGAGCCAAGGGGGGCAGGCCGTGGAGCTACTGGCTGCTCAATGACCATGTCCTGGTTGTAGGACTTGAGCAGGCTGCTGGAGCGGCTGGCCAGCACAGCCCTCTCGTTCCGTCGGAATTTCGCACGTCTGTTTTGGAACCACACCTATGGAGCACAAGCAAGGGATTGTGGCCAGGGAAAAATCCCCTCTTATTTACTATTTACTGATACCCTCTGACAACCATGACAAGCTAACAACATCCAAGATGTAGAATTTGCCCTACTGTGGATCTCTTTGTACAGGGTCATGGCTTTGGATTGTTATATATTTGACTAAAACCCCCTGCATAGGAGTCTCGCACCTGGACTCGTGCCTCACTCAGGTTGACCCGGCGGGCAAGATCTTCCCGCACAAAGGCGTCGGGGTAGTGCGTGCGCTCGAAGACCCGCTCCAATGCCTGCAGCTGCCCACTGTTGAAGGTGGTCCGACTGCGCCTCTGCTTTTTCTTCCTCTTTGCCTGGTCTGGTGCAGACCCGTGACCATCAGCTGAACAGGGGAGAAGGTGAGGCTCAGAAGACGTTCAGCTGAAACCTTCAAAGTCCACGTTAACGTGATCATCTGTGTTTGAGTGTTATTCCAGTATTTTCATTTAGAAAGTCTAGTGATATCATGTATATCAGAGACCACAGCAACAGTGGCTCCAAGTCAGTCATAAGTAAATTTGCAACACAAAGATGTATTCCAAGTTTATAGAAAGCACAGGTTTTGATGTTACATTAATATGTCATGCAAAACATCTACTACAATAAAAACACTACTAAGAAACTATGGGTTTATCGTTTCATGTTTACCCCAATGAATTAATCCATCCATTCATCCATCCATCCATCCAAAGCAGTTACAACATAAATAAAAAAACATTAAACTAAATACATGTAGAATATCTATATGTCTTCTGTACCTTTGAGTGAGACCTCAGGGAAGACACCCAGAAAATCTATTCTTATTATTTTATATAAAAGATTTCTTTTCCCACACCATCCATGACCATGAACTCCTGTTGAAACTTTTGGCATTTTGCAACAGAGGCTGTAGTACTTTAAAAATCAGCTAAACATGTGTGCAGCATTAGCCCAGCATTTAATGACACAATTACAATTAATATTCTTTTCATATTGACTGTAGCCATAAAAAGGTTAAAGTCAGCCACCATTAAGAAAGCAACTCGAGCTTTCCCTCATGTGGGCTGCATATGCATCATACTCTGACTTCCAGGGAAGTTTGTGTGCTTGCTTTTGACAACCAAGGTGGAGAACCATCTAAAGTATGCTAGCTCTTGTCAAAACTCATTTGCACTTGTACGCTCTGAGTGGACTGTGAAGTCATGTCAGATGGGCGGTCAGAGGCCCATGGCTTGGTACTCCGCTGAATTACTTCATGCCCTTGGCACGGTGCCCAGATCATACTGGTGAAATGCATGAAAGCAGACCTAATTACGCTTGGCACCTATCTGAAAGCTTTATGATGTGTGACTTTTGGATGCGTCTTGGCTATTGAAAAAATTACTCAAGCATCAAAATATTTGTCCCGAGGTTGGCAGGGCAATGGAAGGAGCCAGGGAGGTATTGGTCAGGGGAACTGGGGCGTGGGTGGATATAAGAGAACTATGTTAGCTGTCTACAGTAACCAGAAATGTTCATTTTCATTCATTCATGTGACAAACACTGCAATATTCAAAATGTACACATTATCATAAAAAAATCTGTGACTGCAGTAATTATTAAGAGTGTGGGATATGTCTGGTGCTTATGGAACACTCTGATAATTCTGAAGGAAGCAAAACAGGTTTTGACCAGTCCTAAAAGTCGGAGAGCCTCGGATGACTTAATCACACAAGATTTCCATTTCAGAAATTCCATCCATCCATCCGTCCATCCATTCTGGTCAGAGTTGTGGGGCATTCCAGAAATTTTTTAATTAACTTAGACTGACCTAAATCATGTTTCATTATCAAAATGAGATAACATTCTTAAAATAGGAATACTACTATGTAAATTATTTAGTAGAATTGACTGTTAAATCCCAAGCACTTATAATGTGTCTCATCTGTACTGATTCGCATGTTGGTCAATAAAGGATGACCTTTGAAGAACTTACTTACTTACTACATTATACCGGAAAAAAAACAGCTTTGATTGTACACCTCACATGAGATTTATTAAATATATCTTTTAATCATAGAGAATCCACAGTACTGTTGCATTGTCCAGCTGTCTGAAATCCAGCACACAGTATATCAAGTTTGACATTTGCATCCTATGGCATGTGATTTTTCAAATGCAGTGGTCACATTAAACTGAAGAGTCTGGCAACAATGGCAGGGATACTCAATTATTTTCCCCCAAGGTCCAAATTTCATCAACCACACAAAGCCAAAGGGGGGAGGAGGGGGGTGATTGGGCGCGTGGTCCACCATTTGAGTACTCCTGCTTTATGATGCGTTCAAGGTTCCCTTACACAAACACCTATCAAAGTCTTTTCTGTTCTGTTTGTCTTCCACGGCGAACTCCAGCGAAAGACTTTCTCCTTACAGATACTTTTCAGGTCTCTTCCGAATATCCATTTAGTACAGAGAGAATATTCTGGTCCCTGATTTCCTCTGCATTTTGAATGTCATTAACTAACAGCTGGGAAGCAGCTCAAACCTAACCACCAGATAGATTCTCTGCTCAAGTCCCATTGTGACGGGAATCATTGCAGAATTCCTGTTTTACCACAAGCTTTCACCATGCAGGTCTGGCCAGACTCAAATAGTCATTTGATCATGGGATGGCCCAGATTTTCCAAAGTTTGTCACTTCCATCCATATTGCTTCTCCACTGAGCTCTGAGGGTTCATTTATAACAAGGTTTGTCAGTAGTAGTACAGATACAGTTATTTTTTAAGCCGACCATCTGGAAACAAACTATTCATTTTCCTATTAAATGCTGTTATTGTATCTAACTGCTTAACTCTTGTGGGCTCAAATATCTATTCCATGTTGGACTTGTGGACTTGCTGACAAAATGATTTCTGTAAAAATCTAAGTTGTGCCTTGTTAAAAGTGGCAGCTGGACTCTCAGTGAAGTCTGATGAATTTCATTAGCAATGTACTTAATGTCAGTGTATGGAGAACCTTCCAACACCTCCACTAGATTGTTGGCACATGGGGGTTCCACAGGGTGGAACAACGCCGACTGCAAAAATGACAGGGAGTGTACAGCACATGGGCCGATGTCAATTGACATTGTCAATCACCTTTTCACCCAAGTGTGGTTAATTAAAGAGCTCAACTGGGAAGAAAACCAGCACCCCCCTCCTGATCTGTGAGGCCTGGAATTACCCCCATTTCTATGCAGGGAAGATGTTCACAAACAAATAATTTAATTTGCAGCATTCAGTCTAATTCACATCCATCCATCCATCCATCAATCCATCAACCCATACATCCATCGCCTATACCCACTTATGTAGAGTATGGGTCGTATGTAGGGTCATAGGGGTCTGGAGCCTATTCCGGAAGCTATGGGTGAGATATAGGGCATTTGATTAAAAAAAGTTAAAAAAACAACAAGAAACCAATTTAAGTGTATCTACAAAGGGCCTCAAGTTCAGCAAAAGTTACGACTATATTTTCTATAAATGGGGCAACAGCTTCCTGAGACCAAAAATTCTTTCCATTCTAGAATGTATAGGCTGAATATAAAAATCAGCAATTAATGACCATAAACTCAACATCAGGCAAACAAACAAACAAATAAAACCACAGAAGTTAAAATTAATTTATTTTCCATAATTGCTTATCCAGTTCTGGGTCAGGGTGAGCCTGGAGCCTCTCAGGAGGTACAGGGAACGAGGTAGGGGAGGATACCCTTTGTGGGTCGCTGGTCCAGCACAGCTGGGGGCAGCTCAAACCCCCCACACAAAGGATTTAGAGATACCAGCTCACTGGAATGAAAGTATGAGCATCTAGGGGAAGCCTACAGGGACAGGGAGCCTGGGTAGGTGCTGACCTTACAAAGCCAGAGCTGAGAGTCTACCCAGAATGAAAAGTATCTCTAGCAATTAGGAGGTGCTGTGTGAATACAGACTGAAGAATATGTTATGTTGATAAATAACTATTTCCTCCAGAGATTAAAAATAAAAATGGCATAATTTAGTAATTTATTTACCAGATAAACTAGGTGGAAAAAGTGGATCTGTGAAAATAGAGCTGTTGTGTTTTATTTAGTGTTTATTTAGTCTGTTCCCTCTGTCTCTCTCAAATGAAAATAACAATAAAGAAAATTAAACCTGTAACCTGAAGTGGGAACAGAATGACAGATTATTTTCCACTTTCCATCTTAAACAGTTTACCCGGATTTGGGAGAGTGCTTGGAGTTTAAGACTTAATCTGGTCTTTGTTGTGTTTTATTTAGTGTTTATTTAGTCTGTTCCCTCTGTCTCTCTCAAATGAAAATAACAATAAAGAAAATTAAACCTGTAACCTGAAGTGGGAACAGAATGACAGATTATTTTCCACTTTCCATCTTAAACAGTTTACCTGGATTTGGGAGAGTGCTTGGAGCTTAAGACTTAATCTGGTCTTTATCTAATATGTATGTGATCATGGTGCAAATTGTGTCATATGTGCATATATAATTGGGGGTTGCGTGAATATCAAAAGGCCCGGCACCATCTGTTGATAAGAACTTTCATTCATTCTCCTGTGCCTTATTATAGTCACATAAAAATGTTCATCTTCATCTGTGAGCTCTATCTTCAGCACCATCCCACAATCCATCCGTCTACCAGAGCTTAACTAGTACATGGCTGTGTAGGGCCAAGTCTGGAGTTTACCCCAGGTGGCATAGAGCACAGGGCAGGGGTCCAGCCAGGAAAGGATGCGAATCCATCACATGGCACCCTCGCACACAATCACACCATAAGGGAAACACCTTTACACCTCTCTGCACGCAGGGCCAGTCAAAGCAAAAGTGGCGCAATGGGCAAGCTTCACCGCTGGAATCGCAGAAGGCACGAACACTCCTAGTTTCATTTTGTCTCAATTGGTGCAACTGAAATTGTTTGGCTATGTCAGCTTTGGCACTCTAGGCTGGGTCGAGCGGCCCTGTCTCCATGAAACTTCCATGAAACACACTGCTACCTTTATAAATCATTTGGCAAATTGTTGTTAAAATTTCTTGTGCAGGGGGACCCCAGGCATTTTTTTTCAGACACACGTACAAAATGTTCCTCTTAGTCATTTTCAGACAAAATTTTATGCAATATTTGAGGAGAAAACATCACACAAGCAGTTGGCAAGTTCAAACAATTCCAGTGAACATTCTTCTTATGTAAATCTTTGTGGTGTGCTGTCTGAGATCTGAAACTGATAATCAGAAACTGGAATGGGATAGATGAGTCAATCTATTTTATTATAAATATTATAAGGATTTTATGGGTGTTTACCATCAAGTTTTTTTGGTTAGTAATGCATGGTAATACATTTGTTGGACATAAGATCA